AGGGAGGAGGTGGGGGGGTGGGGGGGTTGTATGGACATGGAGGAGTGCCTGCATGCGGGAACAGCCGCAGGGGCTCAAGTTTCCAACCCCAGGTGTCGTTTTGTTGTTTGGATTACATTTAGCCTCCGCTGCCTCGCATGGAGGAACCTCTGCGAATCAGTGACAGACATGGCATCAGACAAGAGGGCCTGATTGTTCCCTCTGAATCAATGTCACTTGGATTAAAAGTCGAAACGAATGGCCTGGCCCCCTACAATTAGGCGCACAGCTTATAAGGGAATTAATTGGTCTCAGTAAAAAGGAGGCTCTTGTTGTTTGGTCGCAGGGTTTGTTGTTGTTGTTGATCATCTCTGGCAGTCGGGTGGATCAAAGTTGGACTAATTGATTCCAGTCTGATTATCTGCCTGTTTCTCACACTGTTTGGGCCATTTGATTACTTATGTGGAGCCTGGAAAAAAACACTTATATAAGTTCATTATCAGCCTTTAAAAATCTTAAATTTCCAGTTACTGTAAGCTGTGAGCATGATATTTCAAATCCCAGAGTCATACTATAGGGGATAAAACAGTAAAGACGACAGTAAAGTAGACTCAGTTCTTTACTGGATACCACAGGCACACTTAAAATCCCTCTAGGAGTATTATAATATCATTATTTTTATTTGTATATACTGAATGCTTTCAGGGTGCTGCCCATGGCCAAAACAACAGCCTGGACCTAAAGTTTCCCTCTAATACAACAGAGATTGCTTAACATATAGCTTCTCAAATCTTTTTTTTTAATCGTAACTTGAATGAAACTTTGGATTTTGGACTGTTGCTCAGACCAAATAAGCAATTTGAAAGTGCTACCTCGGACTCTGAGAACTTGAGATACCGTTAGAGTACAGTAGACTTCCATTGTTGAATACCGCAGGCACACTTCAAATCCCTATAGGAGTATTTTAATAGCATGGCTTTTTTCTATACAGGAGGTTTTGAGGAATGAAACTCCTTTAGGCTGAAATCCCAGTCCTAAACAACTACTTCCAGCTTTTGCCTCGAAGAATAGAAAAAAAATTACTGTTTAAGGTCTGCTAAAATCCTACATTTTTTTTACTTTTGGGACTGATAATGTAGGTGAAAGAGACCTCTAGGTCAGGACAGGAAACTAACTTTATTGTCTTTTGGTTACAGAGCCTGATATATGTCAGAATGTAGGAGCCATTTTAGCAGCTGGATCTTTCACAGTGAAGCAGGAACTTTAAATTATATTTGATTGATCTTGGTTACCTGCCAAACAGACATGTAGTGGAGACAAAGACTGCCAGTTTTCCATTTGTCCAAAAGCTGGTGAATAGGTTTTCATCCAGTCTATAGGAGCTGAGTTTTCATGTGTTTATAGCTTGTAAAGAAAAGGTTACAGTGTGGATTTAGGTATGTGGCCAATAGCAGTAGAGTTTCTCGCTCATATCTTAGTGCCATATTGAACTGTGATGTAAAATACGAGTCAATGGATAGGATTTAACTTGTTTGACTCGCGCCTTGTGCAGCCTGATGTGTTTTTACATCTGGATGTAAATCAAAGTCTTTTTTAGATGGAGATGGATGCGTTTAGAGATTACAAACAGCCAGCAGTTCCATGAGGACTGCTGTTGCCGATCTCATACTTGTGAGCCAAAGTTCCCGAGTTTTTACTGCGATGCTGGAAAGCAGCATTGTTATTGTAGAGGGTGTAACATTGACGTTAATTGACAAAGGAGAAAAAAAAAATCCTTCCTGAGGGCATGCTTTCATCTCTATGACAGCGGGTACACTCATGCAGTCATAACAGCCTGCAGGCAGAATCTGTGGGACTTTTGCTGCACACATATGTGTGTGTTTGTGTGCGCTCTTTGCACTGGAATGTATTACTTGTCGCTGGCCTCACCTGTGGGCTCGTTTTGAGCTTACTGCATTAGAAGGAGGGAAAAGTGTGTGTGTGTGTGTGTAAGAAAGAAGATGGTAGTTTGCGCTTTATAATTTCATCAAGAGGTTTTGGGTTAATGTACTTTTCATAAACTAGCAAGGAACACACTCTTCACCAAATAAGGCTGCCTCATTTCCCAGAGCCGGACATTATTGGCCTGTTGACATACGGTGCATTAGTCCTCCGGCGCTGACAGATTGGAGGCTCGGAGCTTGGGCCTCGTGCCCCCGGGAGGGTGTTCTGTGTCCAGTCAGACATCGGATAACCAGAGAGGGACACCTGGACCGGCAGGTGGCCGGGGTCCAGGCCCCTCCCCTGGGGTTGCATACCTCTCTCCTCCTGATCCTCCCTGTCAGCCAGGACCACAGAGAGAGAGGAGAGGGAGAAGGAGGAATGTGAGGTAAAAAGAAAAAGAAAAAGGGGGGAATAGTGAAGGAGAAAGTTCTGACAGAGAGTTGGAGAGGCTAATTAAACAGGCCACGATCAAACAGAGTGACATTGTTGAGGCTGGGATGAGGATACATTGGACAGAAGAATGAAAGCTGAGGAAAAAAAGATTCCTGTGCAAAACGCTTTTTTTTTCTTTTTTTTTTTAAAGGTTTGTCTTGAGGAGTTTTGCTGCAGTGTGCTGCATACCAGTCGGGGTGGGGAGGAGGGAGGAGAGGGAATGTTTTATCTGCGCGAGGCTGAAAACGAGCGACGAAAGGGGAAGAAAATGTAGAGAGTGTGGGATAAACGCGCAGGACGCCCTGGGAGCTCGCAGCCACGCAGTAACTCCCCTCACTGCAGTTTGCAGCGCAGTAATGGACTTTCTCTTCCGACTCCTGAGGGATAGGCGTTATTATCACAGCAGCTGACTTGCCCCTTCCTCGGAGCAAATGTCAGGAGCTCTTTTTGCCACATGGCCTACGTTTTTTTTCCACTCCCTAGAGAAAAACTTGTCACCGCGCGCTTTGTGCGGCTCCCAC